ACATTACATATAATTGTCTTTAACTCTGTAATGTGACTTATTTGCGTAATTTTTAAATAATCACGTTATTAAACCAAAATATTCTATCAGAAAAATAATTTTAGTTTTATAATAAACATATTAGAAACATTATAAATCCGATGTTTTTAAAAATAATTATATTTTTATAGTATTAATTTGAGTTAGATAGATATGAGGCTTCAGCGCAGGGGAATTTAATGTTACGGGAAATATGTTAAGGGCCATCAAAAAAATTTAAAAATATATAACATCACCTTTTTAGTATTTGGAATTAGTTATATAGTTATGCAGCCGTGAAAATCGATTTTGAAGCAACTTTCAGGGAGTTAAACATAATTAAAAAAGTTTTAAAATATGTAACATCATTTTTTTGTTATTTGAAATTAGTGATATAGTCTTACAGCAATGAAAATCGATTTTAAGGGAACTATTAAAAATTTAAGAATAATTAGGAAGGTTTTAAAATATATAACATCATCTTTTAGAATTTGTAATTAGAGATATGGTCATACAACAATGAACATCTATTTTAAAAAAATTATGCTACCTATTTTCAAACTTCCCTAATTATTCTTAATTTTTTTGGTATTTGGAATTTGTGATATTGTCGTACAATAATGAAGCAAGATTTTTAAGGGAAAATAGATTTTCATGAAAATTTATTATCAAAATGTAATTGAAGTAAGATCAAATATTAAAAAGGGAGCATGCATAAAAAATACCAATTTTCAACAACAACTGTAAGCTTTGAGGGCAAATATCTTTATAACCAGAATGAAGTACACTCAATATCATTTTTGCAAACTGACTCTACAGTTTTATCTTTATTTAACAAACATGTGTTTAAAATTTATAATTATTGAAACTGTGAGTTAGTCAACGTAAAAGATATAACTTTTCATCCGACGTCAAATATTTTTATAACACGAAAAAATTGACAAGAATATTTTTATCTCAAATTTTATACATAAAAAACAATAGTTTTTATCAACTGTTCCATAAACGTAATAATTTATCTTCTTTGTGTATTTTTATAACTAAAAAGTAATTCAAGTAAATTTAGGTAGTGTAAAATTGCCATGAATAAAAAAAACAAATTTCAGCTAATATTGCAAAATTTGATGCCTAATAGCTTATTATATTTAACATAAAATATTTAGATTGTATAAAATGCTCTCATATCAAATACCTAGTAAGTAAACTTTTTTTTCCTTTTTCATAAATTTATAATTGATGTACATTAAGCATATACATTAAGCAATTAACAATGCATTAAACGTAATTCATATTTTTAAGTTCAAATTATCTGCTTTTGGATTCAGAAACTTTACTTACATTAATTTCAATTAAATCATATTTTATTAAAGCGAACTCCACGGAGGAAGTTTGCATTATTAATTATCTCAAATATGTCTGATTTAAAAAAAAAATTAATTCAAATTACATCAAAGTTTTAAGCATGTGTAGAGTAATTTTTCATTATAAATTTAAATAAATTGCTAATACATAAAAATCAAATTTGCGTTAACTACTGAAAAAAAAATTTTTACTAGCTAAAATAAGTGATTAAAATTATTTATCTTCTTTATGTTTAAGTAAACTAGAATAATGCATACCATAATAATGCTTGTTGTGGATAATGAAAAACTTTATCCACAACATTATTAATTATCTTAGTTATTAATTTATTATTATTAGTTATTATTAATTTATTATTAATTTATTATCATCAGTTACTTATGAATTGTTAATTTATCTTAGTTTTAACATTTTATAAAATTTAAATTAAAAATTCGTATATTTTAAAGAATTATGAAAACAATGGAAGAGTTTGAAAAGCATTAAATTGTACAAATGGAATTTTTTTACGAATGGAGAATTTTTAAAAATAAATTAAGTTCAAAGACTCACAATCAGTGACTTTAAGAATAATGAAGAATTTTTTTCAACTTTGTAAGAATTTTTTTAATAAGCAAATTTTGTGACAAGCACTTTGTTAAAAATGACTTAATAGAAATTTATTTTAAACAAGCAAAAATGTTTCGTTAATTATCATTATCTTTGATAAACAATTCTTGTGTTCCTAGTAAATGAAACATAGAACCAAGAATAATATATATTTAGAATATTTTTAAGCTCTTCGTTTAGTACATTAATCTCTTTGCATTCTCTGTTTTTTCGAGTTACTTTTTTCGAAATAGTGTAGAAAGAATATTTATGAATTCAACAAATCCATTTATTTAGAAGGCTGTCAGAATTACCGCAATGGATTGTTAGTTCTATAACAACTTGAAATTATTCAAATAATAATATATTTTTATTTAAAACCCACTAACGGTTCTGCATGTAAAAAGTCGTATTTTAACTTATAGTCTCTTCTTCATTTCAAAACCGGTTTTTCCATGTTAATAGATAGGGGAATAATGCAAAGGGGAGGAACAGTCTCTCAATTTTACCCAATTGCTAAACCGCCAGTGGGTTAAAATCATGAACACCGCCTGCCACAAATCCAAAATATTCAGAATTTTGCAGTCCTACTTTTAAAAAAATTTCTTTTCATCAAAATAAAAGTGAGTTTCATATCGTTAATAATTAGATATAATTTAACAAAAACATTATATTGTTGACTTCATTTCTTTTAAAGCTTGAATAAATTCTGAATTCTGATAATTCTGAAAATTATTTCAGAAATTGAGAGAAAAGTTTTTAAAATATACAATTTGATAAAAAAAAAAATGCTTCCTGAAAAGGAAATTTCTTAATTCTGGCTTTAACATCGATTTTAAATTATTGATTTGAATTATTTTAGCATTTGAATAGTTTATGCTAAACATTTATCTAAATTCACTTATACTACTAGAAATTTTAATTAATTTAATTAATTTCGATACTAAAAACTCCGTAGAACGTATCACTTGTAAACTCATTTTAAAAGTTACAATTTTATTATACTAGATAAACTTCCTTGATTTTCATGTAATAAATATTAAATACCTGCTTGGACATAAGTTTTTGTTGTCCTTTTCCCTTGAAATGTAAATTGGAAATAATAAACAAAAAATATGCAATGATAATTTCAAATTTATGAGTGGCTTTTTATTAGAGTAGGTAACAACATTTTTTTTAAATTTCAATGAATACCAATATAATAATGAGAAATAATTTTCTTAATTTTCACAAAACGTAATAAATATGTTTTTAAATATGAACAAAACTATTTCATCTTTTCAACTCAAACATTTCTTAAAAGTTAATTGTCGCATTAAGTACTATTGATGTCATTATTTTAATTAAATGGTAAAACTGTTTAACATCGACTCTTATTTAAACATTTAAGAATGCATTTTATATGGGATTGTGCATAATATCTCTAATTATTATTTCAAAATTTCTCTAATAATCTGCAAAAAACATTTGTAATATATCTATTTGAAAATTATTTTCTTTCATTTAATTTAATTTTATTTTTTAGTTATTTTATTTTACTTTACTTTATTTTATTTAGTTTTATTTTATTATTAAAAATAATTCCTGTTTTACACCACCCCATATTAATACACTTAAAAATGAATAAAACTATAACTGTTAAATCTCAATAAATATAATGATATTTTTTGTTAACTTTCTAGTACTTAAAATACATTAAAAAATTTCCCACTTATGTTTATTTTTTTATTTATTTATTATATATTTTGACATTTATAATAATTTTCTATGGAGCATACATTAAATGAACCAGTTTGCTCTAGTGACAATTTGAAAACACTCTGTGTTTGAATAAGTTTTTAATAAATTTTTTTGTTGATTTTCTATAAGAAATTACATTTAGTTTAAAATTATCTAGAGTATGGGCTGTAATAATACAATACAGCTTTTTTTAATTCATTTACTAAAAAAAAACTATTTTTGGAGCACATATACAAAAATACAAACTTATCAAAAAATTATATGAACTTTGGAAACGAAACGTAAATATTTTACTTTCAAAATTTAAAATTTGAAATAGTATAGTAAATGCGAAAACATAACCATTTGTAAGGTGGAACTTTTGTAAATAAAATAAATAATTTCATTGATAAAATAATACTAAGCCTCAGAACAGACACGAAAAGTATAATGCATTTTTCGTTCAAACTAAAATAAATATATTCTACTTGATTATGATATTCTTCTGAGTTATTATCTTAATAAATGCTTGACAGTACAATCTTCAATTTAGCAAAACCAACTTTAGAGATAATCGGTTAAAGTTATCGAACAAACACAAGAATGTTATACTATGTACTACTTTTGTATTAAACCTATGAAAGTAGAATGCTAGTATATAAAAAGAGCTACAGTTCTAAACCACTGCAGCATTTTAAGAATCATTTTGTTGTTTTAGAAACCAGTCCAATCAACCAGTTTGTTCTAGAAACAAGCTGAAATCCCCACGTTTTCAAATTAAATTTATTTATTTATGTATTTTATTTTTATTTCATTATTTTATTTTATTTTATTTTATTTTGTTTTATTTTATTTTATTTTATTTTATTTTTATTTTTATTTTATTTCATTTTATTTTATTTTTATTTTTATATTTATTTTATTTTTATATTTATTTTATTTTTATTTTATTTTATTATAATTTTTTATTTACTTAGGCAATTTCTGCTTAAAATTATATTAACAATGCGCTGAATTAATATAATACGTAGTTGTTTTTTTTTATTCATTCCAAAAAATACTATTTTTAACGGACGTATACGCAACTACAAATCTTTCAAAAAATTACATGAACCTTGAAAACAAAACATAAATATTTTAGTTGCAAAATGCAAAATTAAAAATGCTACAGCAAATACGAAAATATATCCACTTCGTTGCGTGGAACTTTTACAAGTAAAATAAGCCATTTAATTTATAAAATGGTATAAAACATCGGAACAAACAAGGCAACTAATGCTAATTTTGTTTAAATTGAAATAAACATATCCTACTTGATCATGATATTCTTCAGAATTATTATCTTAATCAATGCTTGACAATGCAATCTTCAATTTAACAAAACCAATGTTAAAGAGGATCTATTAAAGTTATGGAACAAACACAAGAATGTTATACTTTGTAGTATCTTTGTATTGAACCAGTGAAAGTAAAGTACTAGTATACAAGAAGAGCTACAGTTCTAAAACCACTGCCGCTCTTTTAGAATCATTTAGTTGACAGCGCCACACGCGAACTACATCCATTTGTTGCGCTCTTTCTAAGCTCCACCCCCTGCGAAATGTGCGCCTGTGTAGAAGTTTTCCCTAAAAGACAGTTTGTGCTTTCTTTTAATAAAATGATGAATATTCACTTGTAAGAAGATAGTTTTCAGGTAATATGTCATCTTGCCAATAAAACTATTAGCTGAATTCTGAAATTTATGATCAGAAGCTGAGCTTGTATAATATAAAATATAAACGGTACACTAAAGCATTAATTTTAGATGAATTAGTATTTTAAGGAGTAAAATCGTCTAATGTCTTTATTTTACCGAACTTTTAATGCCATTATTTTATAGTTATCTTAATTATATGGTTATTCGAGAAATATTTTTAAAAACATTTTAGATAACACAAGATTTTTTTTTAAAAAAAATTAGAGATGCTATGATAGGTTAGGAATAGGAGATAGGTTATGAAAAAGGTGATATAAAATTCACTGATAAATTGAGTCAGCAATGCGTAAAATGTGGAAAATGACCACAGTCTGACGCAAATCACGCTGGCAAAAAATTTCTGTTGTATTCATGCAAATAATTAATATTGCCTAATTCATATGTGGGGATTTTAAATCTGAAAATAGTTTTGCACCTAACGCTACAGATTTTTTTTAAAAAAGAAATTTTTAAACTATTTTTTGTCTAAAAATATGCTTGTTTCAAAACGTTATATATGACAGGAAGTTGCGTAAATGTTGCGAAAAACTTCTAGCACATTATCAGGATTAAAACTACATAGAAACCCATGCCCAGAAACGTTGTCATACGCGGCTTTGAGGCACTTCCTCAATTGCGACCTTTTCAGAAACACACAAAGAAACAATTCTTAATACATAGAAAAGCACCTCTAGAGGCGTATTTTATTTTAGGAGATATTTCAGGGCATGAGTTTTATTCTTGATGATGAGTCCTAACTCCAGTAGAAGTTTGTTGCAACATTTATGCTTCACCCTGTTATATGAAAACGCTTTTAAACTTGACATTGTCGACGAGAAATAGACTAAAAATGCCATTTAAAAAATTTGAAGTTTGGAGCGAAAAAAACCGATTGTAGACAGATTTGAAATCAGTGACATACAAAAAAAATCTGATGCATTAGAAAACAAACAAAAAAATGTTTCCCAGGGTCATCATAAGTAGTTTTTGATCGCCTGGTCAAAGGACTGGGTTACAGATTTGGAAATGCCTCGTTCATTATCAAATTTATAGTAGTTGAATAATTAAAGAAACTCTTACAATAATCTAATTTAAAAGTAAAATGAGATTTAAAAAAACATATAACATTCATCACATTTATCTCAAATATATCACTTAGCTGAACTTGTTATATAAAATATAAACGAAACACCAAAGCATTATATGAAGTAAATTCATAAGTAAAATCGTTTAATGACTTTATTTTACTAAATATTTAATACAATTTTTTATAGTACTTTTAATACCATTATTTTTTATTATACCATTATTTCATTGCCTTATAATATAATGTTCAAAAACTACTAAAGTTCCAAATGGTGAGCATTTCTTATTTTTGGAACTTCTTATCGATTAAATTTCCTGGGTTTGGTTGTTTACTCGTATTACTTAATTTTTAAGATTTATATATATTTTAAAAGTTAAATTAGAATAATTTGATCCCTATAAATTTCTTTATTATTTTATAGTTTTCTTCTTAATTTTAAAATCATACGAAACTTTATTTCTATATGGTTTAAAGATTGCTTAGTTGGCAAAATGTAAATAATAAAAATCGTAAAAAATGCATTTTGAAAATAATTTATGGGACAAAAACAGCAGCTAACTTTCGTTATAATCTGCTTCATACTTACCTCATATGAATGTATCTTAAGAAAAACAGTTTTATTAAACTTGTCTACTTTTTAATTAAATACTCTTTTTTCTTTATTTACACTCATTATTTACTTTATTTACTTTTCTTTATTTACTTTTTGTTTACTACTTAAATTTTAAAATTTATATGAATCTAAAAATTTAAACTAGAATATTTTTGAAATTTTATCTCAATAAGTTTCATATTATTTCATTGTTTACTTCTTATTTTTAAATGTTATGAAACTTCATAATATGATTTGATATTACTTTCTTTACAAAATCTAAATAATAAAAAGGCATAGAAAATTCAGTTTAAAAATAATTATTGAGACATAAAAAGTAGTTAAGTTTTACTACAATGGACTTCATACTTTTACAATCGAATTAAGTACGCTTTTTTCAAAGCGTACTTAAATATCAGTACATATGGTATCGGTACTTTATAAAGTTATTTGATTCGGATATTTTTATTGCATTGTTGAAACTGTGCACTAGAAAAAAGCTCATTTATATTTTGCAAAAGAAATTTTTTTTAGTGAGTTGGTGAAAAATGTCTAAATTATATTCATAAGTGAGTTGAAGTAGTTGTTATCATTTTCAAATCACACACATCACATTTTTTTGCAATAGTCTTTATTATTATGAGCGGATGTCCCAAAATGACCAAGGATTTGAAAGAATCAAGGAACTTAAAGGATAAGAATAACAGAAGTAGATAGAAATCAGTAAATAGAAATCAGTAGAAATAATAGAGTAAATTATTGTATAATATTTAATTCAGCGTTTTAAATCACATTTTTTTCATGATGCTTTTCATATTATTAGTCCCAAAAACTATCGAGAATTTGAAAAATTTTATGAAGAGAAGGACTAAGAAAATAGAAGTAGATAGAAATTTACAGTTTGCTGTCATCCTTAACTCGGTTTTTCGTTCTCTCTAAGTTTTAAAATTAATTATAAAGTTCATGAACAAGTATTGCATTCTAAATATATGCTGTACTTAAAAAATTGCTTTCAGAATAACAATTATCTGCAGCTAAATCGGAGTACAATCTAAGGACAACAACATTAAAAGGCATCCCATACAAATAGTTTAGTTCAAATGGTCTCCTGTGCAACATAATGCATTGTTTTAAAATTCTCCCTCAGCACATGATGTAGAACAACAAATAGTATGTTTAGTTTTCTTCTGCTTTTCTTCGATAAGTTCTGCAAATCATCAATTATTTTTAGAATAATTGATTGTTTTTATACTCTATAAAATTTTATAAAATTCTCTATATCTTCTAATACTTTTATTAAGAAAAGATATTTGCGCAATATTTTTTATTTTAATTTTCTTTTCACTTCATTTGTCCATGGTGATTATGGATGCAAAATGAAAATAACTATTACTACTGTAGTTGATTATGAATATTATTATCAATATGCTTCTACGTATTTTTAAAAAACCATGAGGCTTTCTTAACAAAAACACATTTAAATACATTTTTATAACAAAATAAACTTTGACAAAGTAGTGTTTTGATTAGTTTTGACTTTCTTTTTATTTTCGATTAAATCTGGGGAAAGTTTTTTGTGGATATTATTAAAAACTTATAACTTCAATCTTTTTTATTCTTGTTTACAATAATATAATGCAATTTTTTGGTTACTATTACTTTATTTTGTATGTGTCTTTTACTATTTTGAAATTTTATTCAATAATATAATATAAAATTCGAACATATAACTACTCAGAAAAGTTATAAAGTTACTAGAAAAGGCTTTTGAGTCTGTTTCAAAAAAGCGGAATCTAAGACATACATACCATATCATTGGTTGACATGACTTTCGTCTTCTCTTTAAATTTACGAATTCAAAAATGTATAATATTTGAATCTACTAAAGTAAACCACTATATTTTTATTTTTTAACTAACTGTTGTGAATATTTTCTTTGATACGGATATAAATAATAAAAGAATTTCAAGTTACTAAATAACACCTCATATTTAATGACAAAACTAAATAATTATTTTAAGAAGAAAAGAGAAAATAATGTAAGGAATAATCTAGAATGTAACTTTAAAAATAAATATAAGCCATCGCCGAAAAAAAATATTAATGTTATATCCTTCATTCGAAAAAACTGCCCAGCATGAAATTCTTAAAAGTATTATTGAGTGTGTGAATTAAATAATTAATTGCCAAAAGTATCTTCGAATAATAAATATCCGTCACTTTTTAATAGCAAGCATTAAATTACATATGTTTTTTTTTCTACTTTATTCACATAACTTTTAATTTAAATGGGTTTTTTTAATTTTTAAGCAAAAATAAGCATTTCAATAATTTATATAACATTAAATATTCATATGTACAGAATAATAATATGGATAATATTTAATCCATAATATTTTATACATAATATTTTTCATACATAATATTTTATTTCTATTCATATTATGTATTTAATATACATATTTTTATTCAGTATTTAATATACTTATATACAGTACTCATATACAGTATTTAATAGACTTATTGTATTTAATATACTTATTGTATTTAATATACATATTTTTTCAATATAGCGATAAATAACCATAATCTATCAACAATATATCATTAAAATAATAGAGATTTCAGAATTTTATTTCACATATTTTTGATAAAATGTTTTTTTATTTAATAATCATTTAATTACCATAAAATAATAGTGGGATAGTTTTAAAATAAATTACAATTTAATTGGAGACATGAGGCAGCTAGGCAGGGCGCAAGAAACTCGTAGACTTATGCGCCACTGAGATGCAAGGTAAGTATAACTAATAATTAACAAAAAAATTTAGTAATACTGTGGGACATCTAAAGCATGAGCCGTGAATATCTGTAATAATAAAATAAAGATTTGTGTCTCTCTGTGTATAGTACTGATTTATTAATTATTTATTTTTTTCAACCGTGTACGAAGAACGGGTATTCAAACAGTAAATAATAAGGCAATGGGTATTTAACAGTAAAAATACTAATCCGGGTGTATAAAATACTAGCTTATACCCCAAAAATTAGGTATAATAATGAAATAATGAGAAGAGATTAAAACAATACAGCAGAAGATTAACATACTTGACCAATAAGGCCCAATTA